TGTCCAATGGCCAGTTAGACAGAGCAAATGCCCACATAAAATGTACTATTTTAATCTCAACACTCAAAGGAAAAAATAACTGGTCATGGCAATCTTAGGGCGCTGAACCCCAAAAGGCCCCCAGATGGTCTCAAGTGAACCCCAAGAAACACAAGCACAACAACAAAACATTCATAACCTGTGGTTATTTATGTAAGAAAACACCCAACCTAGTCCAAATAAGGTCTGAAGGTGTTTTTGTTTATTTTTTATTTTAAGAGCAGAGAAACTTCTTCAGCAGGATGTAGTGCTAGCTGGAACCACAAGCCAAACTTTACTAAGCCTAAAAAGCTCTTTGTAAGGTTCCAAAAGCACAACAAACTCAAGCGGAGAAAGTGGTCTCTTCATTTTCTCCCTTCTTAAAAGAAGCCGTCTGGGTGTTCAGGTTTTTGTTTTTTAGGTATTTTAAAAAAATAAAATAATGATAAATGTTAGAACTGTAAATATACAGTCATATGTTTATATTACTATTTTTTGTTAATAATGTATTTTTTACTGTTTTTCAAGGCTGCAATTTAAAAAATGATATTGGCTAGAGCTGTTTAAAACGAAATTTCCAAACGCTCATCCTTGATCCTGTGTACCACTGCCGTGTTCTGCTCTGGAGCCGTTGGAGCACGAAGGAACTGAATGTCAGCTTAACCAATAAAAGTGTAGCAGAAGCGTGCTGCATGAGGATGCATTCAAGTCCACTGGGACATTTGACTGTTTTATTCGCAAATTTTCGTAAAATCCAAACAGTGTTAATGTTTCCAGCCAGGTGGCAACACGGGTGGCAAGGATCACTTCTGGGGTGACAATTGCCCCCCCCCAGCCATCCCTGTGGCTCCGCCACTGTACCAGTTCGATCTGTGGACAGTTTTTCATGCTTGCAACAAAATTAGCAGCAGTAGTGGAGTTCAGAGACCAATCCACTTATTAAATCTATCTTTGCGCTCCTGCGATTTATCCAGAATTTCTGCATTTGCACTTTTTCTCTCACTCACAACTTGGTGGTCGGCTGCATATTTAGCATACTTTCCTTAGGAATGCTTTTCCAAATGGCACATTTTATTTCGTGACAACTTCTCATTATAAAGCAAAGATGCAGGCTTCCTTCCCCAATACCTATCAATCCTGCCGCGTTGGTAATGAAAGCAAATGATATGATCCGTTCTTATTTGAATCCTCTGTTCTCATCAGCTATCTTTCTTTTTTTCCCTTTGGAATCCACGGCCCAAGACTCACCGACACTCAGCAGTCACCTGCCTTGCAACATGCAAGGCAGCCTGCAACGTGTGTTGCTGGCTATGATGCAATTTTTTGTTGACAGAAATGTTTACAACTATTGTTTGAATTTATTTATTACACAAATGTTTACAGCATTGGAAAATATAATGAATATTTGTTTGACCGCTTACACGCCATATTAAAGGTACACTATGCAACCGGTGTTGATTTTCCAGCGAGGCTCCCACCAGAGGGCGAAAGTAAAAGTGCACTGTCGTAAATATGCACAGCTGTTCTCCTGGTTTCTCTGTCAAGCCAGGCACGGTTGTTTTGAGCTTAGCAGACAGGCGAACGCAACGAATGACTAATGCTGCGTTCACACTGGACGCAGCTGGCGCAACAGAAGCAGCGAGTTTACATGCAAAGTCAATGGTTGACGCACGTCAAGGCGCAGCAAAAGGTCCTGCGGCGCGTTTTGAGCAGCGGGCGCAGCACGTCTGAGCAGCTGAAGCAGCGCGTCGGGCGCGTTTAATCATCTGACGCAGGGAGAGAGACACAGCGCTGATGATCAGAGGCTATGATCACATTTCTTAAACAGTTTATTGATGCCTAAATTAACTTAAAATGCAGAAATCTGCCGGCAGAATATGCAGTTCGGATTATTGAGATGAAAAATACCTACCAGCTGCCGCGGTGAACCGCGAGGAGGCGACCTGGCCAGAGGCTGCTGATGAAGGGATTCCTAGGCGCACCGCTGGTATGTGGGGGTCTGAGCGGCTCCGACAGAAAAAATATTGAAGGCAGGATAATAATCTAAATGAACTGACTGCACTGATTACGTTTTCAGGTGTATTTTCTTACTTGAACACATATTAAAACTACTTTATTCCCACTGATCACAGCAAATATAGCTGCAAGGCAGAGAAAGGATAGTGAAGCTCCGCCCAACGCGCCTCAGACACACTTTTGCACCACGCAGCCAGAGCAGCAAAGCTGCTTCAGCCGCGCGTCAGAACTAACTGGTACAAGCAGCAAAAATGAAGCAGCAGACGCGATTTTGCTGCTTTTGCTGCGTGAACGTAGCATAACTGCACAAAGATCGCCACTGTGCTAGCAACGAGAATGCTTTTAACTGGGGGGTGTAGCAGTTCTCGCTGTAAAGCAAGACCGACTCTCGCGAGACTTCTGAGCCTGTGGGTGCGGGCCGAGGGCTCCTGCAATTGCAAGTGCGGTATTTCCCCCACAGACCACCAGGGCGGCCGAGAATATCTTTGTTCAACCTGAAATGACTCATTTAATCATCCAAAACGTTATGGAACACATTAATTAACTGAAAAATGTTGCATAGTGTGCCTTTAAAACAAACAAACAAAAAATCTATCTTTTTCCATTTTCAGAAACTTTTGAAAAAGCTCCAGGGAGCCTCAAGGGCTAAAGAGCCACATGCAGCTGTGGAGCCATGGGCTGCCCACCCCTGGACTACATCTAAATAAATACGTTTTAAAGCCTTTCACACATTGGTCATATGACCAAAACAAATCTCAGCGCATCCTTAGAGGGAAGTGGATGGGATAGATGATGGCATGAAAGACTGAAAAAACAACTTAACATAAATCTGGCATCTATTGGATCTATTCAAGCTAATTTAGTTACTTTAACACTACTGCGTCATATATTAAAGAGAACATAACAATACTGTCTAGACCACCATTACTGAAAACAAATAAACTAATCTGCTGGATTTATATATTTGAGCATGTTTTGCAAATTCTAATTGAATTTAATAATATTGTGAAGATACTACATGAAATGAAAGGTTTTTATATTAGAATTTTTATCTATTTTGATTGAAAATGCATTAACTCATTGGGTTTTCTCCTACGAAAGCAGGTTCTTAAAAATTGTGGCATAAAGTTGAACTAACAAAACTTGTGTACTAAGAGACTGATGTTCCTTTAGGTTCAAGGACATGCTGAAGAACTAATTAAACTAATTGAAATTCAGTAATGAGAGAAATTCAGTTCCCTAAAATAATCTGATCTCCTGGTCGCACAGCAGGCTCTGCTTGCCGCTCACAAGACTCTTCTCTTCACCGATCTGCTGTCCACTAAACTTAACATCATTCTTGTACCACGGCAGGATCTGGCTTAAACCTGTACCCGCCCCTTAACACCAACCCTAAGCAATAACCCTCAGTTTGCACACTTCCACAAAGGGTCGGCCGTCCCAGACCACGGTGGATGGAACGAGCAGACCGTCCAGCCCTTAAAAAAGCAAGTCTGCCCGGCCCAATCAGGAACAAGGACTCACCTCTCAGACTCCTCTCTTCCCCACACCTACCCCACCCAGCCATGAAACATCCTTTCATACAATATCCTTCAGTATCTCTTCAGACCTCCTCACTAAGTTTGCCTTCCAAACCTGTACCTGGACCCCGGAGCCCATCACAGAAAAATTCAAGATAGTTTACTATTACAGTTCTTAGTATTTATAGATCAGTGCTTCAATGTTACTTTTGTGTGTCTGCTTCACTCTTCTTGACCCTCCAGTTAGCATGTGTTGTGAGTTTGTGCTATATTACAGATTTTAATTAAAAACAAAATGAAAACTGAAACTAAAAAAAATGATTTTAAATAAAAGAAAATGTAGACCTGTTGCAGGGTATGTTCTTGGAACAGGACATACCTATTTTAATATAAGTATGAGAATATATTGCATAGTTTATTTAGTGTACTGTGCAGCGTACACTGGCTGGGCTTCTTTTGCATAATTTACCTAAATGAAGCATGACATTGAGGCAACAAGCCCAAAGGTAGAAAAAGGCTTGTCTGAACTGGTGACTCTATAGACTTTCATCTTCATCTTGACGATTACCTGTAGATTTTCAACTGTGGCTTGATAAACCACAGGCATAGGGCCCTCTGAACAGAGGGCTGACTCAAAGGGAATGAAAGGTTGTTTCCAATTAAACCAAAAAGGCGACGGCAAAGGTAAATAACATAGTCCTTCTTTTCATTGTAGCCAAGCCATAATCAACTTATCTGTTCTCCATTTTGGTTGGCTGAGACACACTTAAACAATTTTTATCAAAGACATAATTAATGTGCCTATATATATATATATATATATATATATATATATATATATATATATATATATATATATATATATATATATATATATATATATATATATATATATATATATATATATATATATATATATATATCTGATGGTTGTATTAACTATAAATGTAAACAGAGTTTTATGAAACTGCCTAGCACTGCCTAACCACAGTGAATCAACAACATAACATGAGGAAGGTCCCTGATTCATAGCGGCATCCTGGACCACACTCAACTTGAAATAAATATCTCTAGCCAGACCTTTCAGGGAATTTCCAATATGAAATAATAAATGAGCATTTTTTCCTACCACACTTCACCCCCTAACAGTTTTCCATTATTATGCTGAGATAACGCACTCAACACACAGCAATCTTCTTAAATTAGTAATGGCCCTTTTGGCTAAATGTTTTTAATGGCAATCAATTAGGCCAAAACATGGCTCACATATAGGATTTATGCATTTGAAAATATATGATTAGGGAAATAATGTGGTCCAATAAAATAATTGGTATGTATCTCTAAAATATGTTATTTTTCAATTGAAATATTGCAATAAAGCCACTTTCTGATTTCCAGTTGACTATGATCCATCCCTATAAATGAGTGAAATGAGGCTGGACTTACTGCAGACAAAGAAGTAAAAGGCTGTGCCGGTGAGCAGGACTGGGCTCCGGGCCAGAGAGCTGACCAGGCCGCAGATGCCTCCAACCAGCAGCAGGACCAGGCTGAGAGGCAGCATCACTACTATGGCACCATGCATGCCTGAGAACAGAGAATGGCTTTGAAACACCGGAGGTATGGCTGTCCTTACGCACAGTTAACAAAGGTTAGGAACTCACTCAGCATGCGCAGCTCTGTCTCGTTGTATTTGGAGGAATCGGCAGAAAATGAATCAATGGAGTCATCTTGTGTTGTCCCGCCTGGATGTAAACAAAACGCTGTTTGTTTTAGATGACTATCTGTTATTAATATCAAATCATATTTAAAGGCGGTGAAGTTGTTGCCACCTACCTTCGTTGATGCGCCACAATCCTGAATGAGAGCTGAGATCATCAAAGTCAGTCATATTATTTGGGTTCATCTCTATGATGTACCAGTGGTCGGTTCCCAGAGAAGTGGCCAAAAAGGCGAAGCTGAGAATCCCGCAGACACCAGCAGTGATGACCAGAGCGCCAAAGGTTACCTTCATGGTGCTCGGCTGAGGCTTCATGCGTAATGCTGGCTTCCCAGCGGGGATCCAGGATTTCTACCCGATCTACATTAGCAGGGGGGTGGATTTCTATAAAGGATCTGAAAGAAAAAAAATCTGACAGCAAAGTCTGCCATTAGTCAGTTTGTCTTTGCTTCTGTGAGGGAGGGGTTTGACTTCATGAGGTGGGCGCGGATACGCAGGGAACCGCTGGATAGGAAAGGAAGTCTGGTGTGTTCATATTATAAGACAACCTGTCATTTAGGGTTAGAAACAGTTAACGCTGAAACATTTTCAGAAAACTAAAAGCAGTGTTTTAAAAAGCATCCAAACCCCTTTAATATAGTTTCTAATTGTTTCCTTATATGCTGCTGTAAACTTTATTCGAGTTCTACTTACCTATGTGTTCCATAGCCAGGGGCGGATTTGGAAAATGTGGGGCCCTAGGTAAAGACCGACAGGGGACCAACATAGCAGGAAAACAAAAAAAAAGTGCATAAAAACCCCCGCATCACTTGATTTCATTTTAATTTCTTCAGCTACTATATTAAGTGATAGAAATGTTTAAAATGTAAAATAAAAAAACACTAAATATATAACTGAGGGATAACTGCCAACCATCCATCCATCTATTTTCCAACATGCTTATCCCTACTGGGGTCACGATGGGAGCTGGTGCCTATCTCCAGCTGTCTACGGGCGAAAGGCGGCATTTGCCATCTATATTTTTATAAATATATATGTTTGCCCTACTTTAAGAAAAATAAAATATGACAAGCAAACAATGATGAATCTGGCAGATTTCACAGTAATGAAATATCAGCAAAATTTTTTAGAAACTGGTATCATAATCGTCAGCAGCCCTACCTAAGGTTTGCATTCATCTGTTCCTGAATTAAAGTTATGAAAAAAAAAAACATAAAACAAACTGAATTCATCAAACAAGATGAATCCCTATGAGAAATGTGGTCGGTTGTTTTTAAATGTAGGTTCAGACTAGATTTCCAGTTGAAGTGTGTCCCTCAGTCTGGCTGATCAGGGTTGATTTGAGGAAGGATAAAAAAAAGTAAAAGCCACCCTAAACAGACTAGTTGGACAACAAAGCAATTGCTTAAATCAAATAACATGTATCAACCCAAACCTTTTATTCAATTTATAATCTGTGGCCAGGTATAGTTGATACATTTTCCAGTCTCACTGAGCTTAAGTTACTTTGCAAATATTATTTAGTATCCACATGTGAAGATGGGGACATACCTGGAAGAACTGCAGCAGGAAATGTGGCTCTGCAAGGTTTTGACTTAGATGAGCTGAATCCAAATCCAGGTGATATTTTTCAGATTTGTATTTGCAAAGAGGTTTGAAAACCATGTGTTTTCTACTCGATAACTCACTGCTTTGTACTGATAAAATATAAATATTATAAAATAACATTAAGGCTTGGTTTTGTAATGTGAAAAAACATGAAAATGTTCAAGTTATGCCCCCGCCCATCCTCCCCACCTTCTACAGAAGCACCATAGAGAGCGTTCTGACCGGCTGGCTCACTGTATGGAGTGGAGGCTGCAGCGCCTCAGACTGGAAGAAGGTGAGAACAGCAGAGAGGATCATGGGGGCTCCTCTTCCCTCCATTAAGGACATTTCATCCCAGTGCTGCATGTCCCAACCCCGTAACATCATCAGTGACTCCTTACACTCCCACCATGCTCCAGAGGCTTGGCAGCATTCACTGCAGGTCCAGCATGTTCTGTAACAGCTTTTCCCTGCCGCCATCAGACTGTTGAACTGTTAACTCTGCATCACACTCGCAACATTATTTCCTACCACCAACCTGGCTGAAACTTTTATAATCCTTTTAAATAGTACACAACTCAATATTATACTGCATTTTGCACCATATTTACTTTGCACTGCACTGAACCTTTCCATATTAATGCACTTTTGCACCATTATTTTTTAAACTGGTTCTCCTTTTCCCTTATACTGTTTACATGATGATCACTTCTGCACTTTATAAATGGTAGTGCTCAATTTCACTGTTGTAAGCTGTAAGCAACACAATTTTGTTTTGTATACTCTGTGCAAAAAAAATAAGAATAAAGTTTGTCTAAGTCTAAGGATGTGATAATTTTACAAAATGTCAATTCAGTTTATTTATATATCACAGTACTTTATCTCATGATACTTTATAGCTAATTGAGTTAGATCAAGATAGATTGGTCCAAAGCTTTTCATCTAAGGAAACCCAACTGAGTGCATCAAGTCACTGACTTTGCAGCATTCCCAGGATAAGCATTGAGAAACAGAGATTTACTTGTGTTGTATCATTAATTCTGCAGCAATTGCTGACATCAAGGATGCATGCAGTGACTGTGAAGAGGAAAAAACTCCCTTTAAACAGGAAGAATCCTCCAGCAGAACTAGACTCGGTGTTAGTGGCCTTCACCAACTGGGGACTTGGATCTAACAGAGCAAACACAAGAAAGGAACATAGAAGTAGTTAAATACGCAAGAATTCTACTCAGGAGATGCTGTACTTGATAGTTTTACTCAAGTACAAGTAGTAATCCAAAAAATGACTTATGAGTTAAAAAAAAAAAAAAGTAAATGCACCAAGTGACTGATCTAATTTGTTACTCCTGACATCTAATTTATTATTTAAAAGAAATGTTGTAAAGTTACACAACTAATTAAGTTATATGCAAAGTCTGGTGTTTCAAAGAATGAGATAAAATATCCAAAATATTAGAAAGTTTAATATTTATGATATGTATTCAAAATAATATAATTATTCACTAATGTTAAGGGAAAGAAACAATTTGCTGGCATACCATAAATAATAAATTATGAACAGTTTAGTTTGTGCGCTCAACTCGCTGGCCATAGGTTATATCCACGTAACGTCTTCCTAACGGAATATCTTCAGAACGGCTCCAAATGACACAAAACTCATATGGGTGAGTAGAACATGATATAATAACGTAAGATCAAGGGGCCAATGTAAAAAAAAAAACAAGCAAAAAAACGTCATTCCCCTTTAAGGTGGCCGGTTCCAAGTTGTTCTCCTGTTTGAATCTCCTCTGAAGCTTCATCATGGGCGCCTCAAAACAACTCTCAAATGATCTCTAAACAAAGATTGTTCAACATGGTCATTCCAGGGAAGGATACAAGACGTTGTCTCAGAGATTTAAACTGTCATTTTCACCGTGAGGAACATAGGAAGGAAATGGAAGACCACAGGGACGGTTCTTGTTAAGCCCAGAAAAAAAAAAAATAGAAGAATGGTGAGAATGGTCAATGACAACCCGCAGACCACCTCTAACTTACAGACCACGTCCAAAGACCTGCAGCAGCATCTTGCTGCAGATGGTGTCTCGGTGCATCGTTCAACAAATCAGCGCACTTTGCACCAGGAGAAGCTGTATGGGAGAGTGATGCGACAGAAACCTTTTCTGCAAGAACACCACAAACAGAATTGCTTGTGGTTTGCAAAAGCACATTTGGACAAGCCAGCTTCATTTTGTTTTAAGATCCTGTGGGCTGATCAAACAAAGATTGAGTTGTTTTGTCATAAAAAAGGGCATTATGCATGGCAGCAAAAAACACAGCAAGAAAAACACTTGCTACACACTGTAGATTTTGGTGGCGGTTCCATCATGCTTTGGGGCTGCATTGCCAATGCTGTCACTGGGAATCTTGTTCAAGTTGAGGGTCGCTTGGATTCCACACAATATCAGCAGATTTTTGAAAATAATGGTCAATAACCAATTACCAAGTTGAAGAAAAGACGGATATTTAGATTTCAGCAAGACAATGATCCAAAACTCCGCTCAAAACCTACCGAGGCATTCATGCTGAGGAACAATAACAATGTTCTGGAATGGCCATCCTAATGCCCATAGCTGAATATCATTGAACATCTGGAAGCAGGCTGTCCATGCTTGGCGACTGTTAAACTTAACTAAACTGGAATTGTTTGGCAAAGAAGATTAGTCAAAAATCTCTTCATCCAGGAACTCATTCAAAGCTACAGGAAGCCACTAGATGCTGTTGTCTTGCAAAAGGAGGATCTATAAAATATTAATGTCTTTTTTGCTGATGTGCCCATATTTTTGCACCTGTCAAATTTTGTTTTAATGTGTACTGCACCTTTTTTTGTTAGTTCAATAAACCTCGATTCAATACTGAAATCGTATTCTGTCCATCAGTTATTAAATATATCAAACTCAAATAGCTGTTGCAAACAGCCACATGTTTAGAAATAAAAATAATTAAGATTAATAGGGGTGCCGAAACTATTTCATATGACTGTAATTACTAAACCGTTGTGGCAGCAAAAAAAAAAAAAACACACCAAAAGAAATGAAATAATATAATATTCTTTAAGAAAGACTTGAATATTTTGTTGGAATTAAAGGAACAGCACTAGACTGGTTTAAATCTTATCTATCTGATCGAATTCAGTTTGTTCATGTTAATGATAGATCTTCAACACGCTCAAAGGTTACCTGTGGAGTACCACAGGGATCAGTGCTAGGACCAATTCTCTTTACTTTATACACTGCATGAAAAGTGGGATTTTCGTCAATATACGGCACTGTAGATTGTCGTGGAACTTCAGGTTAGCGGCAGTATACGGCAATTTGCAGGCTTCGACGAAAACTCCCGTAAATTGTCAGAAATTGACGTGGAATTTCTTAGGCAGTGTTCCCCCCATGCCTCCCCCCCATGGAATTCTAGGGGAGGCTTTAACATGTAAATGAACATGCTGTGAGCTATACAAATGCAAACCAGGGTTGCAGGGGGGGTTTTACCCCCCCTGCAACCCTGGGTAAGAAAATCTCTGATACAAAGAGATCAGGTATAGCCTCTTACATTTTAGCTTGAATTGATTTATTTAATTAAAGTATAGAGACAAAAACAGATCTTTAGCTGACAGAGCAATACATTTAGAGCAGTAATTATTTTTTTTTTAAATTTGCATTTAAGATAAAAAATAAAATGTTGTCTGTCAATATGCTCAATTCACAATTACTTAAGTGGAAAAGTTTCAAGAAATGATTCTGAGATGATTCACTTTATAACATGGCGCATTATCCTGTTGGAAGTAGCCATCAGAAGATTGGTACACTGTGGTCATAAGGACATAGGTCAGCATGCT